AAAAAAAAAAAAAAAAAAAAAAAAAAAAAAAAAAAGAGAGACCAAGTTAGATTAGCCATGAATGAACATGCCAGCTAGCACTCATTTGAAAGCAGAGCTAAACTGATGTGGGTGTGACTGTCAGGAAGAAGATGGGAAAAGAAAAACCACTGTCTGTCTAAACCAGAGAACACCTGGACTCAATATGCACCAAACCCTGGCAGAAATAAGGCACAGTGCTGAGTCCAAAAATACTGGTCAGACCCAGGTTTACAAATCAAGATTTAGTGTCTGTATGTCTCCCAGTGGGTTGGTCCAAATCAGGAGCAAGGGACTTAAAGAGACAACACAGGCCAATGGGGGAGAACGAAGGGATGCAGAATCAATGAGAAAGATATTCAAAAGGGCTGAGCTTGTTTCATCAGCAAACATCAGGAAACCTGGAAAGAGATCTTAAGGGTGGCTTCACTAACATTGTGAAAATACAAAGAAAACTAACACCACCACCCACTCAAATGCCTGCCATCTTCCATCCATCCATTCATTAAGTCAACAAATATTTAGTGAGTACCTACGAAGGGCCAGGAACAGTTTTAAACACATGTATCAGTAAACCAAAAAGATGATCCTTCACATTCAGGAAGGGGAAGACAGTAACAAACTTATTACTTGAGGTCACTGTGTTTTAATAGTGTTCTAAATGGAGTCTTTCTGTTTTGAGACTATTGTTCTCTTCAGCCATCAGGCTGTCACAAATATTTTTCTAAATGTTATGGAGTATAATTAAAAAATCCTGTAGGGCTCCAGGAGGGGCTCACAAAGTCACCAAAGAACTTGATGTTGCTATAACCAATGACAAATATAATCAAGTCTCAGTCTTTTTGTCACTCAGCTAGTCAATAACATTGGACACATCTTCCTGACCCTAAGCCACTAGAGGGCTCCAGGGTTCAGCCCTTGGCCAGCTTCTTTATCTACACGCACTCCTTTGGTGATCCCAACACCTTAGGTCTTTAAGTACACTCACCCACCAATGAGTCCCACAGTTAGATCTAAAGTCCCTCTCCTCTGTTCAGACTTAGACATCCAACCATCACCCACTTGATGACTGATTGGCTCGTACAACTCACCATATCCCACACTGGACTTCTGATGTTGTCTTCCAAATCTGCTCTATCTCATCTCAGTTTGTGGCAACTCCCTCCTTCCAATTACCCAGGCCTAAAATCTTGAATCATCCTTGACTCCTCTCTCGCCTTCTCATACCCCACATCTAGTCCACAAACACATCTTTCTGACTCTACCTTCAAAATATCTCCAGCATATGACCATATCTCTTCACCTGCATTGTTTTTGACTTCGTATCCCATCATGCTTCCTCTCAGCCACAATGGCTTCCTTGCTGTTCCTTAAAGAAGCCAAACCTTGGCTAGGCAAGGTGGCTCACTCCAGTAATCCCTGCACTTTGGGAGGCTGAGACAGGTGGATGACCTGAGGTCAGGAGTTCGAGACCAGCCTGGCCAACATGGTGAAACACCATCTCTACTAAAAACACAAAAAATTAGCCAAGTGTGGTGGTGGGCACCTGCAATCCCAGCTATTCAGGAGGCAGAGGCAGGAGAATCGCTTGAACCTGGGAGGTGGAGGTTGCAGTGAGCCAAGATCATATAATTCCCTTTGCCTCTCCTGCTCTTTTCTTAGCTATCTACATGGCTGATTCCTTTAGTCTTGCAGGTCTTTGCTCATATACCACTCCCCCAGAGGAGCCTTCCCTGACCACTCTACCTGGCGCTCTTTGTTCCACTTATTCCAGAGCACCTATCACCAACTCATACACTACATATATATTTATTCATTTACTCTGTCACACATATGAGAATGCAAATCCTTTGAGGGCAGGGATTTTATCTGTCCTGTTCACTATATGACAATGACACAGAGTAAGGATTGAGTTCAATAATTACTTCAATAATTACCCAAGCTATACACCATAGGGATTAGACCCCCCCTTATCTGATCCAAAACTCAGAGGGGTACATGAATTGCCCAAGCTCACACAGCCAGACAGCAACAGAACCAAGACCTAGGACTCTTCACTCCTGTTACATCACACCATGGCAATTATTTTACATTCTCCAGCTGATCCAAATCATATAGCAGCTAGCGATTTGGAGGCTCCGTGTTTTATTTCAATTTCAGTTCAAGATTTCTTATCTTTGTGGCCAAGAACCCTAAAATAATTTTGGAAAGCAAAACCCATCTACCTGGAGTAAGTCTTTAACATACACCTGACTACACGGGCCACTACATGGGGCGTTCCTGATTTAAAATTCTCGAAGGGTCCTATAGACCCTTGAAGGTTATGATGTTTTAGTTGATCAAGTTCTGTCCTTTGCTGCCTGTGGTGGAATGCTGCCATAGCTGTCTTTTCTGATAAAGGGCACAGTTGGACTTTGGTTTAATCAGGAAAACAAATGTTAACTCCTCAGTCTCCAAGTTAGCCACACTGGGCTGGAGAGTACCTGTGTGGTTTCCACAATTCTCTCCTTGCTTTCCAAACTCTCAGGAGCCACCCTCCATATTAACGCAGTCTCCTTCCAGGTTAAGCTGACAAATACTGATCAAAGGAAGGGGAAAACGATTCACTTTCCAAAAGCGAATCGCAGGAGTCCAGGGCCTCAAAGGCGGAGGCCGTTGTATGTCCAGATGGCCAAAGGTCTGTGACAGCCTGGGCCATGGTTTTCGTCCTCTCGCTAGAGGCCGTGCGCCCTCCCGCCTGGCCCAGACAAGGCGCCCGGAAACTGAAACCCGCACCGCCCGCTAGGCCTCCACCTGCGCGGCCCCGCAGCCGCCTCTTCACCAGCGGCTTCCCCTCTGAGCCTGCGGTCGCCGCAGCCTCTCCGTCTTAGAACCGGAACCCAAGGCTCGGATGCTGTCCCAGGCCGGGCGCCCCGCGAGCAGTCTGGACTGCGGGGAGAACACACGGCAGCCGCAGGCCTCAGTTTTTTCATCTGCAAAGGTAAGGGTCGGGGGGTCGCCAGGACCCCGGTCCACCGGCAGGGACCGCGGCGCGCCAGGCCTCCGCCGCGGCCGCAACACCTCCCCCGGGCGCCCCCTGCGGTCTCCTGGACCTACTTCCCCGAGCCGCTCACGCCCATCACCAGCAGCGCGCCCGGCGCCGCCATGGCCGGAGCCCGGCTCTTCCCGTCGCCTTCCCGGCGCTCCAGAGGCGGAGTCGCTCCCGTCCTCGCCGGGCCAGTGAGGGCTAAGGCCCTCTGCACCCTCCCCGTTTCCCCGCGCGCCTTTTCGTTGCCTTCCGCCTCCCTTTCTCATCCTCCCCGCCTCTCTCTCCTGCCCCTCCCCTTTCTCTCCCCTCTCTTCCCCTCCCCATTTTCTGTTCCCGGAAGTGGGGCGCGCGCCGGGTCTGGCGCCCTCGTCTCAGGGGCTGGAGGGAGCCGCCCAAAGCCCTGTCACCTGTCGTCCTCCTGCTCTGACCCCTCTTGGTTGCAGAGGAGCCTCCCACCCTGGCAGGCTGGATCCTCTTCCACCCATGGAAAGCATTCATTCATTCATTCATTTATAAAAATGTTCTTATAAAAAGAATAAACAGAAAATAAGACTCAGACTTTCCCACACCAGGCAGCCATAAGCAGCTCTTCCTAAAACGACACCCCTTTTCCCCCACCCCAGCGTAGATAGATGGGTATGAATATTTTGTAAAATTGGGATCAGGCCGTACACAGCGTTTTGTAACCTGGCCTTTTGTCACTATAATATATGGCGGCCATCTTTTGGTGTCAAACTTGGGGTTGAGGGTTGACCATAGCGGCGTATTTCATGGCTGTGAGGTTCTGCTATTACATCCAGCTCTTGTTGAGACTTTAAAAGGAAGGAGCACCCCTTTAAAGTGCCCATTTGCTTTAAAACAATGTGTTAATTATGTGTCGATTGAACTATTTGATTAAAAGCACTTCTAACCACATTTGGCATCACCTCCTTTGGTCTTTTTTTTTTTTTTTTTTTTTTTTTTTTTTTTTTTTTTTTTTTTTTTTTTTTTTTTTT